TGTATGTCGTTTTCTTTACGTTTTCTGACTAAAAGCAACCAAAAAGCCATTTTAAAGTGGTTAAGCAAATAATAATAATAATAATAATAGGCAGGGATCCCAGACCAATACAATTAGTGTGCCTCCTCTATTTTAAAACCCACGAGCCGCCACTGAGTAAAACAACGTCTCAAATGCATTAAACAGCACAGATATATTCGCTGTTTGTCATGATGGATCGATTTGATCCATGATCGACATTAAGGTCGGTTTAAGAATAAACATGCACAAATTAGTGAGATTGCGTGAATTTAAATGGTCTTTAATGGAAACGCTTTAGCCCCGATTGATTTGTTAGGTTATTTCAAGTCAGGTTTTGGACTTTAATGCCAGTTTTTCCTCGGGTCTCCGTAGTGTTGTGATGCGTCATATTCACGCAGCAGCAGCAGTGATGAGAGAGCGCGCTTGAGAAACAGTTTAGAGAGGAGAAATCAATCTACATATAAAATATTGGTCACAGATTATTGGTCACTTTCTAAATAATAAAAGACATGGGCAGTTAAATGTTAAAATCACATGTGAAACGTTGTTTTGGAACATTTACAACTTATGTCCACAAGTCCATATTAGTTCACGTGTTCATCTTTTCAGAAGATAAATACCCTGAACAAAATTAAACGCAACACTTGTTTTTGCCCCCATTTTTCATGAGCTGAACTCAAAGAGAAAAAGTCTTAGATATGTTTATCACACAGCACAATGCCACAGATGTCGCAAGTTTTCAGGGAGCGTGCAATTGGCATGCTGACTGCAGGAATGTCCACCAGAGCTGTTGCCCGTGAATTGAATGTTCATTTCTCTACCATAAGCTGTCTCCAAAGGCGTTTCAGAGACTTTGGCAGTACATCCAACCGGCCTCACAACCACAGACTAAGTGTAACCACACCAGCCCAGGACCTCCACATCCAGCATCTTCACCTCCAAGATCGTCTAAAACCAGCCACCCAGACAGCTGCTGCAACAATCGGTTTGCATAACCAAAGAATTTCTGCACAAACTGTCAGAAACCG